GCCAGCCCAATAAGAATGTGTGTCAGCTTGTTGGAGAAGAGCCTGAAGCCAGCTTGCCAGGTGAGCAGAAGATCAGAGAGAGGGAGAGAGAAGAGAGAGAGAGAGAGAGAGAGAGAGAATTCATGCACAACAGCCTCTATTTCTTTTAAATTAAACTCTTCAATCAAGCTCCCCACCCTTTGTGTGCGCACGCGCGTGCGCGTACAAGTTTTGCAGCTCCCAGTGTTTTCTTTTCTCTGGGAAATGGGTCCAAGTGGCTCTTTGAGTGTTTAAGGTTTCAGACCTCTGCCCTGGAATGTTAGATCCTACCTTGTGGCGATGAGGGTGGCGAGGTCTAATTACTATTCCACCCTCATTGCGTCATCGGATAACCGCCCGGCCTCCCTCTTCAGGGTGACCCGCTCTCTCCTTCAATTGAGGGAGGGGGGGATCCCCTGGAGGGGAGGGCCGAGGACTTTGCGCAATATCTGTATGACAAAGTCGCTCGGATCCGGNTGAGGTTGAAATCTACTTGTTTTTCTTCAACTGCCTTCAGTTTGGAGAAGTGTTTCCATGGGTAAATAAAAAGAATATGGAAATTGCTTTGGGAAGGGGAAAAAAAGCTGCGTTGGCAAAAACACCCACACGCACACAGAAATTCTTTCTCCCTGAAATGCTTTGACTTTCAATACATTTCTTAGTGAGGCAATTTTCTTTGCTTAGCCAATAAAAAGGTGAGCATTTTCCCACCTTCTGCTTCAGGCTGTGGATTAAATCAATGCATATGATTGCAAAAAAACTCCATTGAGTTACCTTCTCTGGACTGGGGTGATCTATATTGTGAAGTGTGATCCTTAGAATTCCTTGCAGGGCGTGACCCGAAAGAGGGTTTTCACCCCTGATCTGTTGAAATATATATATATATATATATATATATATATATATATTATAATCTAATTTCAGTAGAGAGTCTTTGCCATTGATCGGGTATGTTAATTCTACAAGTAGTCTTTTGACTTACAATTTGGACCAGAGTCACTTCTGATTTTATAAAACTTTTTGTCACGATTGTTAAGCAAATCCAACTCCTCCGGTGACTTTACTTGTTGGAAGCTGGTTGAGTCTGGAGGCTAAATTGTGTGATGAATAGCTAAGAGAGCTAGGTTGTTGTTGTTGTTGTTAGTTGCGAAGTTGTGTCTGACCCATCGTGACCCCATGGACAACGTTCCTCCAGGCCTTCCTGTCCTCTACCATCTTCTGGAGTCCATTTAAGCTCACGCCTCCTGCTTCAGTGACTCCATCCAGCCACCTCATTCTCTGTCGTCCCCTTCTTCTCTTGCCCTCCATCTTTCCCAGCATTAGGCTCTTCTCCAGGGAGTCCTTCCTTCTCATTAGGTGGCCAAATTACTTGAGTTTCAACTTCAGGATCTGGCCTTCTAAAGAGCAGTCGGGGTTGATCTCCTCTAGGACTGACTGGTTTGATCACCTTGCCATCCAGGGGACTCGCAGGAGTCTTCTCCAGCACCAGAGTTCAAAGGCCTCCATTCTTTGGCACTCAGCCTTTCTTATGGTCCAACTTTCACAGCCATACATTGCAACTGGGAAAACCATGGCCTTGACTATACGTACCAGTATAGGTATCTTTAGCCTAATGAAGAGAAGGCTCAGAGGAAACATGATAGCCATCTTCCAATACTTGAAGGGCCATCACAGAGAAGAGAGGCTTGGCCTATTCTCCGAAGCACCAGAGGACAGGACAAGAAGCAATGGATGGAAGCTTATCAAAGAGAGATCCAGCCTAGAACTAAGGAGAAATTTCCCATCAGTGAGAACACAGTGGAATGGCTTGCTTTCGGACGTTGTGGGTGCTTCATTGCTGGAAATTTTCAAGAAAAGATTGGACAACCATTTGTCTGGGATGGAAGAAGGATTCCTGCCTTGGGCGGGGGGTTGGACTAGAAGACCTCCAAGGTCCCTTCCAGCCCTTGGATTCTATGATTCTATGAAAATATCAAGAGCTGAAACAGAGGACTTTTGACCGGCTTCTGTCCGGAGCTCTCCAAGGTTCTGAACCAGCTTTTGCTCATCTACAAATACCAAAATATGGTAGGTGCAATGGTGAGATTGGACCCCTTGTGCTGACGCAAGCCTTGTACAAAAGGGGCAGGGCTTCTGTTGTAATGCTTGCACCCATTTCTTGCAAATTTTGACCCTTCTTGCAGGTGCTACTGGGACCCACGTAATCCCAACTTGGAGAGTCCAAAGTATTCAACTGGGGAAGCTGTGTTGTCTTCCCAGAAGCCTTTTGTGAATTCATCTATCACATCCTTCCAAAGGATATCTTGACCTGAAACTGTTATCTAGTTTAGGGCATAAGCGTATGGGAGGGAAATTCAGCTTCATTTGTTTTTAGTTGGCAGGTTTCCTATTGACACACAGAGGAAAAAGAGGAAATGTAAAAATAGCAGGCTTTTTTTTTTTTTTAAAAAAGTGAATCTTCTTCCCCGTGCCTTCCTAAAGAAATGCCGTTCTTAATTGCATCCATTTTCTGTAACTTTAAAGCCCTTAAAGCGATGCTTTTCACTGACTCTTTTGTTTTCCACATTCTCAGCCTGAGAATGGCACATCAGGTGAACACTAAAAAGGGAGACGGTGTCTCGAAGGAAGAAAGAGATGGTGCCGAAGTTAGGCTAGCTTCCATCTCAAAAACACCACTGAGTTCCTTTTGTAAAAGTTTTAGGTCAACAAGATTTAAGGAAATTTGAAGAGAAAGGTTTGAAACCAAAAGGCTGAAGGAATTGGTGCCATCTTTCCTTTTAAGCAGAAGGGAGAGCAAAATTGTCTGGTGCCTCCATTTTTATGCAGCATCTGAACTTTTCTGTGTAAGCCGCATTGATATGAAATTAGCTGAGTGGTGGTAGCTAATGAGAGGTTACTGGAATTTGCAGGGGAACCTACATATTTTTATGACTGGTATCCCATCTGCTCAGAGAGAACTTTTGATGTTCTCTCTAGGTGCCAAACTAGGTTCTGTTGGACCTTAGTAGAGGACACACACTCTGGTGAGAGAGTCCTTGAGGATGGACTCCAGCACAAGTCCAAAGACTCAGAAGACTAAACCTCTGGTCCCAGATTGGACCCTTAGTAGAGAGTCTTGGAGGTGAACTGAATTGAATGATGGATTTTTAGATAATGTGGGGACATTCTGGACTTCTCATAATCCCCCTCTTCTCATTTGCCTTCTCCTTTCTACCTCCCCCACCTATTTCATGGGTGGCCCTAGAACACGGGTCGGCAACCCGTGGCTCCAGAGTCACATGCGGCTCTTTGAGCCTTCTCCTGCGGCTCCCAGCCTCCTCTGCCATTTGCAGAGAGAGACAGAGACAGAGCTTCTCTCTCTCTCTCTCTCTCTCTCTCTCTCTCTCTCTCTCTCTCTCTCTCTCTCTCTCTCTCTCTCTGTGTGTGTGTGTGTGTGTGTGTGTCTTTCTCTCTCTGTGTGTGTGTAAAAAAAAGAGTGGCCTCATGCTGTTCTCAGACAAGCTGACAAGCTTATTGCACGGGGCTCCTCCCTTTGCTGCGTCTCTGCAGGAAGCAAGAAGAGCAGGAGAGAGCCAGCCCAATAAGAATGTGTGTCAGCTTGTTGGAGAAGAGCCTGAAGCCAGCTTGCCAGGTGAGCAGAAGATCAGAGAGAGGGAGAGAGAGAGAGAGAATTCATGCACAACAGCCTCTATTTCTTTTAAATTAAACTTCAATCAAGCTCCCCACCCTTTGCGTGCGTACGCGCGTGCGCGCACAAGTTTTGCAGCTCCCAGTGTTTTCTTTTCTCTGGGAAATGGGTCCAAGTGGCTCTTTGAGTGTTTAAGGTTTCAGACCCCTGCCCTGGAATGTGATCAGGATGCATGTTGTGCTCAGTCCAACTTGGTTTCGTGTTGATATCACATGGCTGCGAGTTATTGTGAAGTCCATTCAACGTAAGGAGAATGCATTTAATGTTCTGCCCTGGTTAAAAACTAACAAAAGGGATTGCCAGCTTTGAAATCTAGCCAGGGACAAATTAAACACACCCATTGAGTTGAAATTTTGCAAAGAGAAGGGGTAAAGATGAAGTGTCTTTCAAGTTGACTGTTGGTTCCATTGATTTGATGTAGGTTGCAGCTCAAATGCCTGGGGGGAGAGCCGATAGTTGATTGACTAATGATGACGACTTCTGTTAATTTCTTTTTTTTCCCCTCATGCCCATTGCTAGAAGAGGTATACAGCTTCTCCAACTCACCGTAACAGATTTAAATAGATAATTTTGCTTTCTCCTTAACTGGCCTGGCCTCTTATCCCAACACATTTTACTTAAAAATCCCAACACTCAGACTTTCTCTAATATACTCCCTATATTTATTTACTAGCTGTACCCGGCCACGCGTTGCTGTGGCTCAGTCTGGTTAAATGGAAAAGAAAGAAAAGAGAAAGTGCACGTATCGTAAAATCGTAGCGTGTGTTGCTTTTACGTCCAACAGATGGCACTGTTTTTCAAAAAAAGCATGTTTTTACCTGTCACAGGTGTGACATCTATATAATATAGGTATATAAAAACGTGTGCGTATTCGAATGCAACGTTGTGTCAAAATTTCAAAGCAATCGGTGAAGAACTTTCAGAGATTTAAGATTTTGAACAAACGAACATTTACATTTTTATTTATATAGATTGATAAAGGCTTAAAAACGATGCCATTTGGTTTGCTTGAAGACAAATGTTATTTTTTTTTGTATTTTTAATTATCCCTGTTCTTTCTTTTTCAATTGTCCATGTATGATGTGTTGTTGCTTCACTGGTCGTCTAGTTCTTTTTTAAAAAAATCATTCTTTGCCATCCTGTCTAGTCAAGAACCTTTCTGTGTTTCTTTTCATTCAGAAGCAGCAATAACAACAACATGTTCAGCGAAGTTGTCAGACTGAATTTTGAAATTGCCAGCTTCAGCAGCCTTTCGGGAACCCAGCCAATATCCTGGCAAGTGGAATATCCTCAGAAGAAAATAACAGAGATGGCCCTTTCTGAAATTTTCATTTGCCAGAAGGATCTAGTGGGGATCGTCCCATTAGCTATGGTAAGAGATCCTGAGTCGATATTCCTACAAGATTTCCAAAAGATCTGTCGTACTCTTGTATTGCTTTCAGGGGAACGTCGAAATGTCTTTCTTACCTCTCCTAAAAAATAATATGGCTGCTTCCCAAGATGTTTGGAGAGCAATGTCTTCCTAACATTCTAGTAAAGGTAGGTTGAAGAATGGTTTATTGGCTGATGATCACTCAAGACCATCATTTCAGTAGACCGGAGATCTGCTGAAGTCCATCATTCTAATCATGACATCGTACGGACTGCAGCTGTTCAACCAAGAGGTGGCTTTAATATTTTGACATAGCAATGCTACATAATACACAGTGGATGAGCTGGTCCCTTAATGTTGAGTATTAGTCCAGTCGCTATGACTTTAGTTTGGCAAGATTCTGTCTATCGGTGAGGAATAATAAAGGAAACAGCTTAGAAGAACCTCAACATGTCTTTCTTGGTTTGGGAGCCTGACAGTAGTTGCATTTTGGCATGTTGTAAGACCCCAACCATTGTTTTTAACCATTGTGTGAATTGGGTTTTCATGTTCATCCATAGTGTGAGTATTCTATGGTTTTATATGAACCCAACAATTATGTTCCCTTGAATTCAGTTGAAATGTATGAACTTCCATGGCTAAGGGTGGACTCAAAACTGGTTTCCACTGATCCATAATAATAATAATAGTAAAGTTGGAAGGGACCTTGGAGGTCATCTAGTCCAACCCCCTGCTCAGGCAGGAAACCCTATACCATTTCGGACAAATGGCTGTCCAGTTTCTTCTTAAAAACTTCCAGTGTTGGAGCATTCACAGCTTCTGGAGGCAGGTTGTTCCACTGGTTAATTGTTCTCCCTGTCAGGAAGTTTCTCCTTAGTTCTAGGTTGCTTCTCTCCTTGGTTAGTTTCCATCCGTTGCTCCTTGTCCTGCCTTCAGGCGCTTTGGAGAATAGCTTGACTCCCTCTTCTTTGGGGCAGCCCCTGAGATATCGGAACACTGCTATCATGTCCCCCCTCGTCCTTCTCTTCGTTAAACTAGACCTACCCAATTCCAGCAACCGTTCCTTATATGTTTTAGCCTCCAGTCCCCTAATCATCTTTGTTTCTCTTCTCTGTACTCTTTCTAGAGTCTCAACATCTTTTTTACATCGTGGTGACCAAAACTGGATGCAGTATTCCAAGTGTGGCCTTACCAAGGCATTGTAAAGTGGTATTAACACTTCACCTGATCTTGATTCTATCCCTCTGTTAATGCAGCCCAGCACTGTGTTGGCCTTTTTGGCAGCTGCAGCACACGGCTGGCTCATATTTAGGTGATTGTCCGCTAGGACTCCGAGATCCCTCTCCAACCCTTCACCATTATGCACTTCAGTTCTCCTATAAAGATGCACCTCTTTCCAACTGTCTTCTCCAAGCCCACCATGAAACAAATGAGCTAACATTATGCCACCTGGTCATGAACCAGGTTTGTCCTTACAATGAAACACACTGAAAGTGAGAACGAGTGAAAGCCACGTGGTCAAATATCTGGGAAACATGATTGCTGGAGGTAAAAAAAAAAAAAATTAACAGAAAGAGAAGAGCTTTGATACACACCCACACAAATGTCTATGTAGCACATCAAATATTTTTTTTTGCTCAACTCTAGTCAAAGCAAGCGAACAAAGTCAGTTCTGTAGAGATGATTCTAATCAGAAGTTAATAATAAGTCCTTCATCTGGGAAACGTTAAAAGGGTTTGGTGGTGCTTGGCCAATAAATTATAAATAGACCCGAGACTATTACCGGGAAGTTTCCTAAAAATACACTTTGAATTGCCTTCTTAGGTGTGCATATGTCTGTTCTCTGCTAAGCTGTATTACCCAGGTTGGCACAGCCTGTAAGGTAACCTGCTAATAGCATCAAGGTGAATAAAGGAGTTGATGCTTAGAATTTTCTTTTTTTGAAAAATAAAATAAAATGCTGGCAAGATCAGACAAGGTAAAAGAATATTTGTTCTTCTTCTGCTAACTCTGCAGCTCCAGCCAGCCACTTATTTTGCTATCGTTACCTTTTTAATTTCGTCTTCATTTGTGCCTTAATCTCCTGCCGAGCTGATTACCTGACAATTCCCTTGCTCGGAGTTGCGGGGTGAGAAAAACTGGAGCTTCAAAGGAAAAAGTTGGAGGCTGCCATCTGCTCAGATATATCCAAATCAGCTCTGTGAGTTTGGAAGCTTGGGGAAAAAAAGAGGGGGAAAGAAAATTCATGCCAATTTGGCACAGGGTGGGGGGGAATCAAGGAACAGTTTTGGGATTATTATGAGGATGATGGTTGGTCACACAGCCCAGTCAGATGTTCAGACTAGATTTGGCATTGTTGTCCACGCATCGAGTCCTTCCCAAGGACCTGGGCTAGGCAGATGATGTTGTTTGATGGTGTTACAGTTTCTCATCATAGGATGTCAACTGTAAACCTGCCTTTTGCAATTGACTGATGGGGATGTTGTCAATGCCGAAGGTGTCCAAGTGATGCGCCAGTTGTTTGGGGATTGCACCCAAGGCGCCTATGACCATTGATACTATCTTTGCTTTCTTTTGCCACAATCGTTCTACTTCTATTTGCAGGTCTTTGTATTTTGTTCTTTCTCTTCTCTTCTGTTGTCTCCAGGTACTGTCATGTCTACCATCCAGACTAGTGGACTTGTTGTTGTTATTATTATTATAGTTGGTTGCGCAATAAGCCAGATGTTTAGGCTGGATTTGGCATTTTTGTCCACCTATTGAGTCTTCCCAAGGACCTGGGATTAGGCATATATGGATGTTTGATGGTGTTAAAGGTCTCGTCGCAGGATGTCACCTATTGCAAGTCAAGCTGCCTTTTGCAATTGACTAATAGAGATTGTGTCAATGCCCATGTCATTCAAGTGTTTCTGAGGTCTCTGTCCATCTAGGGATCTCAGAGTCAACTGGTAGACAAATGAAGCTTAGAATAGGAATAGGAATAGGAATAGGAATAGGAATAGGAATAGGAATAGGAATAGGAATAGAATAGAATAGAATAGAATAGAATAGAATAGAATAGAATAGAATAGAATAGAATAGAATAGAATAGAATAGAATAGAATAGAATATGGAATGGAATAGGAATAGAATAGAATAGAATAGAATAGAATAGAATAGAATAGAATAGAATAGAATAGAATAGAATAGAATAGAATAGAATAGAATATTGGAGTAGAGTAGAGTAGAGTAAAGTAGAATAGAATAGAATAGAATAGAATAGAATAGAATAGAATAGAATAGAATAGAATAGAATAGAATATTGGAATAGAATAGAATATTGGAATAGAATAGAATAGAATAGAATATTGGAGTAGAGTAAAGTAGAATAGAATAGAATAGAATAGAATAGAATAGAATAGAATAGAATAGAATAGAATAGAATAGAATAGAATAGAATAGAACAGGACCTTGGAGGTCTTCTAGTCCAGCCCTCCACTTAAGCAGGAGAACTTACACTATCTCAGAGAGGTGATTGTCCACTCTCTTCTTAAAGATCTCCAGTGATGGAGCGCCCACGATTTCTGGAGGCAGGTTGTTCCACTGGTTAGTTGTTCTCACTGTCAGGAAGTTTCTCCTTAGTTCCAGGTTGCTTCTCTCCTTGATGAGTTTCCAACCATTGTTTCTTGTCCTGCCCTCTGGTGCTTTTTCTCTTTTCCCACCATTCTCAAGTTTTGTCCATCAAACTGGGTCAACCCCACTCCCCAGATTTAGTAGTGACAAATGTAGAAAAAACATGGTGTCTTTTCAGAAGCATTTTTAAGGTGCAGAAATATTCAATCCAGATAAGTCTTCTAATTTGGAGAGCTAAGTTTCTGGGCTTCCTTGTGATGCATTTTTTTCTGGCGCAACCCACACAATCTCTTTTGTGGTACAACCTGCACAATCTCCGTGATGCATTTCCCCCCCCCCCCCAAAAAAAATGGCTGGATGACAAATGGCAAACCAGGAAAGCAAGGCTGGCCGAGAACGCATCAAACGGCAAAATTAAAGTGACAGATTTGCTGAGAGGCATCCGCGTTTATTTATTTACATGTAGAAGATTATTACGATCTGAGGGGGGGGGGGAAGGAGAATTCACTGTGCAGAACTGTGATTTGTAAAACAGAGAGACCTGGGCAATTTGTCACTCTGGTGTGTGTGTGTGTGTGTATTTTTTTTAACTTAAGGCCTCTTTCTTTCCTGATAAGCCTCTTTCCTCTTTAGCTGGTGGAATTTTTAGGTTTACCGTATTTTATTCCTGATGCTTTTTCAAAGCTCTTAAGTGCATTAGCCTGGCTTTTCGACAGCCTTAATCCTGTTTGAACAAGTGACAGGACCTAATTGGAAAGTCCAGATCTGTTTGTGTTCAGTTCGGCTGGCCTTCAATCCGACAGTTCCCTGCTGAATAATTCACAAAGGCACACTTACGTAAGGCTCAACTACGGATACATGTAAAACTTTTCTCTTGTATGCATGTTTGCATGTGACATTTCCAAACAGAGACTGAAGTATCTTCAGGCCAGCATTTGGCCATATAAACACTGTTCTCTTCAGCAGCCTGTCAAGCTTGGAAAATCGATAGGTAGACAAAATGCCAGATCCAGTCTGAACATCTGGCTGACTGTGCGATGATCCATAATAATAATAATAGTAATAATAATAATAATAATAATAATAATAATAACAACAACAACAACAACAACGATGATGAGGATGAGGATGAGGATGATGGAAGGGACCTTGTAGGTCATCTAGTCCAACCCCCTGCTCAGGCAGGAAACCCTATACCAGTGGTGGCGAACCTATGGCACATGTGCCAGAGGTGGCACTCAGAGCCCTCTCTGTGGGCACGCATGCTGTCGCCCCAGCCTCGCCTCCCCCCACGGCCCCCTCCTCACCAGAAGCCCTTCCAGAGGAGAGTCGCCCCTGGGTGCAGCCCACGCGAAGCAGCGCAACAAAGGACATGGTAGCCGGGCAGC